ACACAGCCGCCCGCTGGGGGGCCCCCACGGGGGGCCCCCGGCCAGTAACAAAGGGGAAAAGCAAATATTTCTTCCCCCTGCCTATGCCCAGGGGAGCCGGAGCTGTGGCCCGCCCAGTCAGTGGGGGAGCTGAAAGCGGCCAGGACGGCAAGTCCCCCGAGCCCTGGGGGGGGTTCCAGGGCTGCTGTCCTGCGGGTCGTGGCAAGCAGCAGGCTGCAGCACTCATCCTCAGCCCCACACCGAGCGTTTTCCATGAGCTCCTCCATGAGGAGGGACTCGGGTGGTCCCATCCTCGTTGATGAAGTTCTCAGGGTTGACCTTGCCCCTGCCCTGCGTGGCTGCAGCCCGGACACAGCCCCACAAGTCTCCTTCCAGCAACCTCTCCTGTGGGAATGAGGTTCCTTGGAGGGCCAGCTCTGCATCGGGGTGAGTTATGGATGAGCAGATTTGCCCCGAGAGATCCAGGGCAACCTGCCACAAAAATGCCAAAGCCAGGGAGATACCTTGAACCCTCCCTGCCATCACTCCATGCAAGTGCAAGGTCCCTGCTGGGGATGGTGGCCTCAGCCCTAGAAGACGCCAACTCTCCCCTCCCACCTCTTCCAGCATTGCTCCCTCTAGGCTCCACCACCTCCCTGCCACGTTTGCAGTGTGACAGAGCACGGGGACAGCCCGCGGGCAGGACCTGCCCCTCTTTCTGCTGCAGGAAGGTGGGGTGGGTGCTGGATTTTACAAGCCGGCAGCAGGAAGGTGGGCAGAGGCAGGAGCAGACACGCTGCTGAGAGCAGGGGGGACCCTTGCAGGGTGACATCGAGTTTGGGGAATGGCATCAAGACTCAGCTTTCACCTGGATGGGAAATCCACCCTCTGGACTCAAAGCTGTCCCCATCCCGGGGGCTGGAGGGCAGGAGAAGACATCTCCACAGCAACATCACATCTCCTCTTGCAATAACCACCGTGAGCCACCTGCACAGTGCAAGCATCCAAAAGCGATTTGGCCAGGGCTGGGTGTTCCCAGCTCACTCAGTGCCTGGATGCGGCCCATCCTGGCGCACAGGCTGCGCTCTGGAAACGCCCAGGGCTCTCCATCGCATCCCAGGGATGTCCCACATGCCTAAAACCGGGAAGGTGAGTCCCTTATCACCCCGATCCCATGCTTGTGGTGGGGGACAGCAGTGCTGGGAAGCCTGCTCAGAACAAGACCAGTTTCCCCAGCAGCCCCACAGGTCTCTAAGCGAAGCTGCCAGCAAAGGGGACCTCACATCTCTGCTTGAGCACCCACCTCTGCCACCCTGGCCTCTCCCACCGGGGCTGCAAAGGCCTCGGGAAAAATTTATCAGGGCTGTTTGCCTGGGGACCAAGCCTGGTTCTGGTGAAAGATGGACAGCATTTCATGGGGCAAGAGCAAAGGAAAAGAGCTCAGCAGGTCCACAGCGGAGATAGAGGCTAGCTAAGGTGTGTGGGAAATGCAAGCAGGTCCCACCGTGCCCCGCTGCACAGCCCCGGTACTACCGTCACACTGCACAGCATCTCTGGACAAGACCACATGCGAGAGAGCCGGAGGCTTGGAGGAGAAAAACAAAACAAAACCAAACCCCCAAAAATCAACCTTTAGCAAGCAAAGTGACTTTCCCTGGAGCACAACCCTGGCCAGTGGCAGAACCAAATGAGATCCTGGGCACCTCAAGAGGCCCATGGTGCCCTGGCTCTGTCATCCCCCCATCGGACCAGAAAGGGGGGGACAGGAGAGGAGGCACAGAAACCTCCTTGCAGTGGGATTCCCTGAGTGTTTCTCCCAGTGAGGCCGTGCCAGCAGGAGAGGAGAAGTTTCCTGCTGCGTTTGGGACACACGCACTCATCATGGTGCTACTTCCACCAAGGCACCCTCACCCTGGGCAACCCCCCCTTCCTGGGGCAGGGATTGCTCCTCTGCTCTGGTTCCCGGGGACCCACAGCTGGAGCTGAGCTCCTAACTCAGGCCAGACACCTTTGCCTGTGTGGGGCCAAATTGCTGAGCTGCTCCCTGGGCGATCCCCATGTACCCCTCAGAAGCTCTCCAGGTTTCTGCCACCAGGTTCAAAACCCCCCAGACCAAGCCGCACACGGAGCCCGGACTCACCGTCCTCGCAGAGGTTCAGTTTGGAAAGGTTCCTTCCCTCGAAGGGCTCCTCGAAGATGGAGCCGTTCTCCCTCTCATTGAAGGTGTGAAGGTACATGGCTTTGTTCTCCATCCTCCTGCTGCTGGTGGAGCAGAACAGGCACATGAGATGGTGCTTGGTGGCTACGGTATATCCTGACACAGCAGGGGCCCAATCCTGGCTAATCCTGCTTGGCTCTGGCACCATGGTCCAGCGCAACATGGTGTGGGCCGGTGCAGGGGACATGGACCTGCTGCCAAGGGACCCCTCTGCTTGGTCGCTTGGCAAAGCTGACCACCACATCTCAGCATGTGGTTTCTTGACTTGCCCGTGGCCCAGGCTGGGCTTGGCAGTGCCCTGAACGAGGACCAGACCCTCTCAGCGAAGGCAGGGAGAAGCTGGTGGGCAAGCTCGGCCCGACCACGGGTCCGCCACCGGCTAGTCCTGCCTGCGTGCTTGCAGCTCAGTGAAATGCTCACCACCAACACAGACCCCTTGCTTGTTGGCCAAGGAGGGGCTCCTACCACCCCACCCGCGCTCGACCACATGCCCTGCAGATGTCCAGCCTGCTTGGTGTCCGCTCCGGGCATGCCCTGGATGTCTGTCCTTCCCCAGGGCTGGGGAGACGGGGACTCAGTGTATGCACGCGAGCCCCCCAGGACCTGTTTCACCCCTAGGGCTTGGGGTACCCCTGCACCCGCACCACCTCTAGTTACTCCAGCACCCTGACCATCAGCCAAGCCTGCTCTCCTCACGGGCCTGATGCTGCTGTCACTGCCTCTCTGGTCAGGAGGCTTGAGTTGGGCTGGTCCCAGGGACAGGGCCATGCCCGCAGTGAATACAGTCGGCCCTGGGGAGGTTGTGCCTCCTCTGCCGCCAAGGTGTTATCACAGCGCCCGGCGGGGGGGGATCAGCCCCCAGCCCCCAGCCCGGCTCTGGTGTGGAAGGAGTTAAAATCGCCCGCTAAGTGGGATCTGCTGAGCGCTCCCAAACTCATCCCCTGCACCCCTGCGAGCCCCCC